AGGTTGGTGTGGATGCGTTTGCTAATTGCCTACTACTGCGCTTGACATGCGGGGCTATAAACAAGATACACTATGCACTGCGACTTGCACGTATACGGAAATTCTTTGTTATGACTCATGCTGTTGATCACTGTATTGTCTGGCCCAGACTTGTTTATTTACAGACCACCGACATATAGCTGGAATATTGCTGAGTGTGGCATAAAACTAAACTCACTCACTCAATTATACCCCTGTTGGCGCCTTTGCAGCACGTAAACATGCGACCTATAACTTTCCATGTTCATTCCAGAGTGCTAGGGTATTATCACCCCTTTGGATTAAAACTTAACAGCAATTATTGCTCTTAGAATCAAGAGGTGCTGAACTAATGTTCATGTGTAGTTTCTACCAACAGAACGTCTTCCAGTGACATACAAACACAGAGAGAGAGAATGTTTCCAACCACACAGTTAGCAATATGCCAATATCAACTTGTATTGAAATGTTTGAAATGTATTTAATAGGCCTATTGCTTGTTTTTTTAAGTTGGACATATAGAGCATGACATAGTTGCTTGGGGAAAGTATGTCTATTGATTGCGAATAACACTCAGATAACACGCATAAGTCACACAACAATCATTCAAAATGAAGGAAAAATTTTACTGACAATATTTAATGACAAAGTCGAGTCAAGCCTGGCTGAAAGTCAGGCCTGAGCACTGAAGGTGCAAGTTGGGGGTGAGCTTGGGCTTTGACATGCATTCGGAAAACAATTGTGAAACCTTGTCATCAATAACATGCAATAAACACAATCGAGACCCGAAAGATCACATGCTAAGTTTCCGAATGCTTTTACTGGTGTTGACTCAGATAAATCACCAGTGACTTATGAAATTTTATACGATAAAAATTCTTATTTTTTTAAATAAAATATCAGAGGTTTTTAAAGACAAATCAGAAAGCGGGTTTTGTATTTGAAAATCGGAGTAACACCACCAAAATCGTAGTGGCTGGCATCTCTGATAGCGGTATGCATGACCTGGTTGACTGCAAGTCACTTTACCCAAATGGTTTGGATCATCTGTTCATGGTATCAACCACTAGTTTGCCTGGGCCAGGCTGCATCATTTACCAACTGTTGTTATATAGCTATCATGCTGATGACGTCTGCATAACACAACACTTATTAGTTGTTAACATTTACAATAATCATAATTATATCATATAGCACTTCCATATTTGGGAAATATTATATGGTAGTTCATGTTTTAGGTACCTTCAAATGTTTATTCAAATTCACATTAGCACATCAGACACAAAAGTCTAGTACAAAGGACATTGGAAGCTGTCTAAACCGGCACTGTCAGGACTAAGAAATAATCTGGTTTAGACAGAGTGCCAGATTGTATAGCTGACACAGTTACATGAGACTAGAACTTAACCAGTTTTGTCACTCTCATATACATTCTTGTATCACATGGTTCTCTCAATTACTGCATGCACTGACTCCTCACCGCGCGCTGGACTAGACAGCGCTGTATGAACACATATTTTATGCCGAGATCTGGAATTGACAGCTGTCGAATTGCAGAGCTAATAAATGATGATAAATGTACCAGCCATGGAAGGGACTGAGATTTTATGCTGGTGTTGACAACTTGCCGGTTTTGACAGCTTCCACTGTAAGATACTTTGGAATAATGAATTCTACTTTAAACATATGAATATCAAACATACACAGTTTCATTCAAGGTCACAACAGTACAAGTCTGATTCACGGGACATTCCTGCTCCTCCTCTAGTAAACACAAGTACGTGAAGAACATGGAGCTGAGGCCCTGCAGAGTTATCAGGATATATCCCTGCATAAAACATAACCCTACTTTTACACTCTGACAAAACCTTCTCTTGCGGAAAATATTTAAAATGAAACTCTTATAGCTATAGCTATAGTTTTTGAGATGCCATTGTGCACATTATCTACTACAGTTGTTTATGCAACAAGCTGACATTTACCATGCATGGGTACAATGCTCCATAATTTTGTTGTTGGGTCCCAAACGAGTATTTCATTAATCACTTGCACTTGTAAATACATGTTGAATACAGCCCTGATAAAGGATATACACATGTATATGTTTAAATGATGTTTGACTGGTGACTCATGTTTTTCACTAAAATTGGAAATGTTTCACTTGGCCAAAAAACCTAGATAAACAAACAACATACCTGGTATATGAGAAAGACAATCTTACATGAAATGTCTATGGCTGACCTATACAATGATTTAAAGTTCACAATATTAAAGAACAGTCCACATTATTAAGCTTTCAAACAAACCTATATTATTCTGGATGATGGTAATTTGGTGCGTGCACATACATATGACTTGTATGTAACAAATAATTTCTTACTAAATTCATTTCCACAGTCTGAAACATGAGACTGTTTGATTATGACAATATAGCCACCTCGCCCTTCAACATAGTCCTAACTGAGATAAAGCATCCAGTAATGCATGGCTCCCACACATTATGTACATTTGGAAGAAACTCTGGCTTTTCATGTAAAGGTTTGTATTGTTGTTTATGATTCATAAGGCCAGACCAACTTTATTTCTTGTTTTACGGATCCGCTGGTCGTATTTTTTCAAGAATAAGAAAAAAAAATTAATTAATTTTCCCCACTCAAAAAAATTAATCCTACGGTTTTTATTGGCCAAAAATATAAACTTACAAGAATTCTTTTTGTAGATTGTATTTTGCCCCATATACACTTCATAAATTGCCAAAAGTAAAATATTTTTAGTATTTAGAACGAATATTACTTTGACTGGTGATGTTATTTTTTGTTTATGCATCAAACTTCATGTATGACATGCTACTTGGGACAAACTGACCTAATTGCAACAGTTATTTGGCTAGATCTTTTATCCCCTGAGCCATTTATAACAGTTCTACATGAACAAAATGTTTTGGCAGCTGAAATAGGGAAGACTTAATGGTGACAGGGGTCACTATCAATATCAGCAACGTCAGGATGCGATGATAATGGTATTTTCAAATACAAAAAGTATAACATGCAACTTCAATAACATGATATTATGCCTAATGTAATATAATGGATGAAACATCTGCTTCTGATCAGTTCTTATATTACTGGGTATATTTAACTGAATTACAGGAAGATTGGAAGATTGGAAGCCCACATTAATCGTGGAAATAGCAACATAAACATAATACCTCGCTACTGAAACAGTAAAAACGGCAACTTTAAATCGCTAAAACTGCACAAAAACACAAAGAGCCTGCAACTTTGATTTTGCGCATGCGCACATGGAAGAGGACGTCTCGACCGCATGTTAACATTAGTCAGTTGGGCAAAAGTTACATTCCCTTTCTAAGTATTTCTGTTGTATTATTTGGCATTTATTATCATGATACTTGTGTGCACACTTGCATAGTTTACTTTCCATTCGTATGACATGATTGACAGCAATTATTTCGACATATTTAATACTTTTTCTACGCGAGACGATTCACGGTTGCTCGGAAATTGGAACGAAGCGCGAATTGTAATGCGCATGCGCAGTAGAGTTCGCTGATATAAAAATGTTGCAGTTTCATAGTTTTTCGTTGCCGTTTGTACTGTTTCAGTAGCGAGGTATTATGTTTGTGTTGCTATTTCCACGATTAATGTGGGCTTTTCTGCGTTTTTCTGCACAGTGGGAATGTTTTCTTTGGTAGGCCTGACTGTGTCCTTCCAAAACTTTCACATGCCCAAATTGTCAACAACAAACTGCATGCTCCAGTAATTCTGAGGCAGAAGCGTAGAAGAATGACAAATGTGCAAGTTTTGGGAGACATCTGAAACACTGACAACAGACCAGTATCAGGTTTTAATGAATTACTATAGCAGTTTAACATGTTCCACACAACAAGTCATCACAAGTCACACTTACACACGACCCTTTACAGATGTGTACAGCCTATGACATTTACTGAGACACTCATTATCCTGTAGATATTACTGGATCATGCATTACTAGTACAGCCACAAAATACGTCAGGCCAAATGGCAAGGAACAGTTGTTGATGTCCAAAGGTCATTCTTAACATTCCGTGTATGCACATTCCATGCAAACACAAAACATGTGGCAGTCATCAAAACATCAACTTTTGTGTGTGTGTGTGTGTGTGTGTGTGTGTGTGTGTGTGTGTGTGTTTGTTTGTTTGTTTTGGAGAAATACTAAACTGTTTAAGAGGTCACTCAGTGAACACTAATATGCCAGAGCTATCCACCCTAGTGAATTGTACTCAGAATTTAAAATCTCTATTTCTGTCAATGACACTTTTTTGAAAATGCTTAAGTGAGTGAGTGAGTGGCGGGGGACACCCATGTGGAAATCACACCTGAGTCTTCAGCATGACAAGCGAACCAATAAGATACCCTACTGCCCCTGAGAATGTTTCAGTAACATACACAATAGTGTTACAGTGGAGTGGTGTTGTAGCTTGATAGTGTCTCCTGTTTTAAACTATTTTCACACTCACTCTATATTAATTTATAAAAATGTCCTCATAATGCATCTTTGCAATCTGTTTTGTCACCATGCAGGCTCAACATGTCCCTTCCCCCCTTAAATTGCTTATTTCCATGGTATGTTTTATATCTATAACAAGTTGTGGCTTTAAGTAACTCATTGCTCACAATTTTTTAAATTTTTATGATATAAATTTAAATCCCATAATCATATTTTTAATACTTGTAATTTACAACAAAACACTTTGTTAATTATTGTCCTCAAATATTTCTATGTCCTGAATATTTATAAATACTTACATACAACTGTAACAATCAGCAAAACCTGTTTTTATCCAAGTAAACCTTTTATCAACCTCGCCTGCTTGTGTTTAGCCATTAAATTATCAGTTTCAGCATGTCTGAAGGACTTGTCCAGCTTGCACCATCAACGTTAGATGTACTGGATACGTTAGGTGTACTGGATACGTTAGATGCACTGGATACGTTAGATGTACTGGATACGTTAGATGTACTGGATACGTTAGATGTACTGGATTGGCTAGATGTACTGGATACGTTAGATGCACTGGATACGCTAGATGTACTGGATCTGTTAGATGTACTGGATTGGCGTGATGTACTGGATACGTTAGATGTTCTGGATTGGCTAGATGTCCTGGATACGTTAGATGCCCTGCATATGTTAGATGCACTGGATACGTTAGATGTACTGGATACGTTAGATGTACTGGATACGTTAGATGCACTGGCTACGTTAGATCTACTGGATATGTTAGATGCACTGGATACGTTTGATGTACTGGATACGTTAGATGTACTGGATTGGCTAGATGTACTGGACACGTTAGATACACTGCATACGTTAGATGTACTGGATTGGCTAGATTTACTGGATACGTTAGATGCATTGGATACGTTAGATGTACTGGATACGTTAGATGTACTGGATGCTAGATGTACTGGATACGTTAGACGTACTGGATAGGCTAGATGTACTGGATACGTTAGATACACTGGATACGTTAGATGTACTGGATTGCCTAGATGTACTGGATACGTTAGATGTACTGGATACGTTAGATGTACTGGATACGTTAGATGTACTGGATACGTTAGATGTACTGGATACGTTAGATGTACTGGATAGGCTAGATGTACTGGATACGCTAGATGCACTGGATTGGCTAGATGTACTGGATGCGTTAGATGTACTGGATATGTAGATGCACTGGAAGGGCTACATGTACTGGATACGATAGATGTACTGGAAGTGGTGATGTATTGGATACGTTAGATGTACTGGATTGGCTAGATGTACTGGATCCGTTAGATGCACTGGATACGTTAGATGTACTGGATACGTTAGATGTACTGGATACGTTAGATGCACTGGATACGTTAGATGTACTGGAAGGGCTAGATGTACTGAATACGATAGATGTACTGGATGGGCTAGATGTACTGGATTGGCTAGCTGTACTGGATACGTTAGATGCACTGGATACGTTAGATGTACTGGAAGGGCTAGATGTACTGAATACGATAGATGTACTGGATGGGCTAGATGTACTGGATTGGCTAGATGTACTGGATACGTTAGATGCACTGGATACGTTAGATGTACTGGATACGTTAGATGTAAAGGTAGGGCTAGATGTACTGGATACGTTAGATGCACTGGATACGTTAAATGTACTGGATACGTTAGATTTAAGGAAGGGCTAGATGTACTGGATACGCTAGATGCACTGGATACGTTAGATGTACTGGATACATTAGATGTACTGGAAGGGCTAGATGTACTGAATACGATAGATGTACTGGATGGGCTAGATGTACTGGATTGGCTAGATGTACTGGATACGTTAGATGCACTGGATACGTTAGATGTACTGGATACGTTAGATGTAAAGGTAGGGCTAGATGTACTGGAAACGTTAGATGTACTGGAATACGATAGATGTACTGGATTGGCTAGATGTACTGGATGGGCTAGATGTACTGGATACGTTAGATGTACTGGATACGTTAGATCCACTGGATATGTTAGATGCACTGGATACGTTAGATGTACTGGATACGTTAGATGTACTGGAAAAGCTAGATGTACCGGATACGTTAGATCTACTGGATTGGTTAGACGTACTAGATACGTTAGATGCACTGGATACGTTAGATGTACTGGATACGTTAGATGTACTGGATACGTTAGATGTACTGGATACGTTACATGTACTGGATACGATAGATGTACTGGATACGTTAGATGTACTGGATTGGCTAGATGTACTGGATACGTAGGATGCACTGGATACGCTAGATGTACTGGTTACGTTAGATGTACTGGAAGGGCTAGATGTACTGGATACGCTAGACGTACTGGAAAGGTTAGATGTTCTGGATTGGCTAGATGTTCTGGATACGTTAGATGCCCTGGATATGTTAGATACACTGGATACGTTAGATGTACTGGATACGTTAGATGTACTGGATACGCTAGATGTACTGGATACGTTAGATGCACTGGATATGTTAGACGTACTGGATACGTTAGTTGTACTGGATTGGCTAGATGTACTGGATACGTTAGATCTGTTGGATACGTTAGATGTACTGGATACGTTAGATGTACTAGATACGTTAGATGTACTGGATTGGTTAGATGTACTGGATACGTTAGATACACTGGATACGTTAGATACACCGGATGCGTTAGATGTACTGGATTGTCTAGATGTACTGGATACGTTAGATGCACTGGATAGGTTAGATGTACTGGATACGTTAGATGTACTGGATACGCTAGATGTACTGGATACGCTAGATGCACTGGATTGGCTAGATGTACTGGATGCGTTAGATGTACTGGATATGTAGATGCACTGGAAAGGCTACATGTACTGGATACGATAGATGTACTGGAAGGGCTAGATGTACTGGATACGTTAGATGTACTGGATTGGCTAGATGTACTGGATGCGTTAGATGCACTGGATACGTTAGATGTACTGGATACGTTAGATGTACTGGATACGCTAGATGTACTGGATACGTTAGATGTACTGGATACGTTAGATGTACTGGATACGTTAGATGTACTGGATACGTTAGATGTACTGGATACGTTAGATGTACTGGATACGCTAGATGTACTGGATACGTTAGATGTACTGGATACGTTAGATGTACTGGATACGTTAGATGTACTGGATACGTTAGATGCACTGGATACGTTAGATGTACTGGATACGTTAGATGTACTGGATACGTTAGATGTACTGGATACGTTAGATGTACTGGATGCTAGATGTACTGGATACGTTAGATGTACTGGATACGTTAGATGTACTGGATACGTTAGATGTACTGGATGTTAGATGTACTGGATACGCTAGATGATACGCTAGATGACTGGATACGTTAGATGTACTGGATACGTTAGATGTACTGGATACGTTAGATGTACTAGATACGTTGGATGTAGATGTACTGGAAGGGCTAGATGTACCTGGATACGTTAGATGTACTGGATACGTTAGATGTACTGAATATGCTAGATGTACTGGATACGCTAGATGTACTGGATACGATAGATGTACTGGATACGTTAGATGTACTGGATACGTTAGATACTGGTACGTTAGGATGATAACGTTAGATGATACTGGATACGCTAGATGCACTGGATACGTTAGATGTACTGGATACGTTAGATGTACTGGATACGTTAGATGTTAGATAGATGTACTGGATACGTTAGATGTACTGGACTGGATACGTTAGATGTACTGGATACGTTAGATGTACTGGATACGTTAGGATACTGGATACGTTAGATGTACTGGATACGATACGTTAGATGTACTGGATACGTTAGATGTACTGGATACGTTAGATGCCTGGATAGATAGATGTACTGGATACGTTAGATGTACTGGATACGTTAGATGTACTGGGAGATACGTTAGATGTACTGGATACGTTAGATGTACTGGATACGTTAGATGTACTGGATACGTTAGATGTACTAGGATACGTTAGATGTACTGGATACGTTAGATGTACTGGATACGTTAGATTAGATGTACTGGATACGTTAGATGTACTGGATACGTTAGATGTACTGGATACGTTAGATGTACTGGATAGGTTAGATGTACTGGATATGCTAGATGAACTGGATACGTTAGATGTACTGGATACGTTAGATGTACTGGATAGGTTAGATGTACTGGATACGTTAGATGTACTGGATACGCTAGATGTACTGGATACGTTAGATGTACTGGATTGGCGTTAGATGTACTGGATACGTTAGATGCACTGGATACGTTAGATGTACTGGATACGTTAGATGTACTGGATACGTTAGATGCACTGGATACGTTAGATGTACTGGATACGTTAGATGTACTGGAAGGGTTAGATGTACTGGATACGTTAGATGTACTGGATACGTTAGATGTACTGGATACGTTAGATGTACTGGATACGTTAGATGCACTGGATACGTTAGATGTACTGGATACGTTAGATGTACTGGATACGTTAGATGTACTGGATACGTTAGATGTACTGGATTTAGATAGTTGGATGTACTGGATACGTTAGATGTACTGGATACGCTAGATGTACTGGATACGCGTTAGATGTACTGGATACGTTAGATGTACTGGATACGTTAGATGTACTGGATACGTTAGATGTACTGGATACGTTAGATGTACTGGATACGTTAGATGCGTTACACTGGATACGTTAGAGATGATACTGGATACGTTAGATGTACTGGATGGGCTAGATGTACTGGATACGTTAGATGTACTGGATACGTTAGATGCACTGGATACGTTAGATGTACTGGATACGTTAGATGTACTGGATACGTTAGATGTACTGGATACGTTAGATGTACTGGAAGGACTAGATGTACTGGATACGTTAGATGTACTGGATATGTTAGATGTACTGGATACGTTAGATGTACTGGATACGTTAGATGTACTGGATACGTTAGATGTACTGGATACGTTAGATGCACTGGATACGTTAGATGTACTGGATACGTTAGATGTACTGGATACGTTAGATGTACTGGAATGTTAGATGTACTGGATCGGCTAGATGCATTGGATACGTTAGATGCACTGGATACGCTAGATGTACTGGATACGTTAGATGTACTGGAAGGGCTAGAGTGTACTGGATACCCTAAATGTATTGGATACGTTAGATGTACTGGATTGGCTAGATGTACTGGATACGTTAGATTCACTGGATATGTTGGATGTACTGGATACGTTAGATGTACTGAATTGGCTAGATGTACTGAATACGTAATATGCACTGGATATCTTAGATGCACTGGAAGGGCTTGATGTACTGGATACGTTAGATGTACTGGATTGGCTAGATGTACTGGATACGTTAGATGCACTGGATACGTTAGATGCACTGGATACGTTAGATGTACTGGATACGTTAGATGTACTGGATACGTTAGATGTACTGGATACGTTAGATGTACTGGAAGGGCTAGATGTACTGGATACGTTAGATATACTGGATTGGCTAGATGTACTAGATACGTTAGATGCACTGGATACATTAGATGTACTGGATACGTTAGATGTACTGGATACGTTAGATGTACTGGATTGGCTAGATGTACTGGATACGTTAGATGCACTGGATACGTTAGATGTACTGGAAGGGCTAGATGTACTGGATACGCTAGATGTACTGGATTGGCTAGATGTCCTGGATACGTTAGATGCACTGGATACGTTAGATGTACTGGATACGTTAGATGTACTGGATACGTTAGATGTCACTGGATACGTTAGATGTACTGGATACGCTAGATGTACTGGATACGTTAGATGTACTGGATTGGCTAGATGTCCTGGATACGTTAGATGCACTGGATATGTTAGACCCATTGGATACGATAGATGTACTGGATACGTTAGATGTCCTGGATTGGCTAGATGTACTGGATACGTTAGATGTACTGGATACGTTAGATGTACTGGAAGGGCTAGATGTACTGGATACGTTAGATGTACTGGATACGTTAGATGTACTGGAAGGGCTAGATGTACTGGATGGGCTAGATGTACTGGATACGTTAGATGCACTGGATACGTTAGATGTACTGGATTGGCTAGATGTACTGGATACGTTAGATGTACTGGATATGTTAGATGCACTGGATACGTTAGATGTACTGGATACGTTAGATGTACTGGATACGTTAGATGTACTGGAAGGGTTAGATGTACTGGATACGTTAGATGTACTGGATGGCTAGATGTACTGGATACGTTAGATGCACTGGATACGTTAGATGTACTGGATACGTTAGATGTACTGGATACGTTAGATGTACTGGATTACGTTAGATGTACACTGGATACGTTAGATGCACTGGATACGTTAGATGTACTGGAAGGGCTAGATGTACTGGATACGCTAGATGTACTGGATTGGCTAGATGTACTGGATACGTTAGATGTACTGGATATATTAGATGTACTGGATACGTTAGATGTACTGGATACGTTAGATGTACTGGATACGTTAGATGTACTGGAAGGGCTAGATGTACTGGATACGCTAGATGTACTGGATACGTTAGATGTACTGGATACGTTAGATGCACTGGATACGTTAGACCCATTGGATACGATAGATGTACTGGATACGTTAGATGTCCTGGATTCGCTAGATGTACTGGATACGTTAAGATGTACTGGATACGTTAGATGTACTGGAAGGGCTAGATGTACTGGATACGTTAGATGCACTGGATACGTTAGATGTACTGGAAGGGCTAGATGTACTGGAAGGGCTAGATGTGCTGGATACGTTAGATGTACTGGATACGTTAGATGTACTGGATTGGCTAGATGTACTGGATACGTTAAATGCACTGGATACGTAAGATGCACTGGATACGATAGATGTACTGGATACGTTAGATGTACTGGAAAGGTTAGATGTACTGGATACGCTAGATGTACTGGATACGTTAGATGTACTGGATGGGCTAGATGTACTGGATACGTTAGATGTACTGGATTGGCTAGATGTACTGGATACGTTAGATGCACTGGATACGTTAGATGTACTGGATACGTTAGACGTACTGGATACGTTAGATGTACTGGATACGTTAGATGTACTGGATTGGTTAGATGTACTGGATACGTTAGATGCACTGGATACGTTAGATGTACTGGATACGTTAGATGTACTGGAAGGGCTAGATGTACTGGATACGTTAGATGTACTGGATACGTTAGATGTAATGGATTGGCTAGATGTACTGGATACGTTAGATGCACTGGATATGTTAGATGTACTGGATACGTTAGATGTACTGGATACGTTAGATTTACTGTATATGTACATGCACTGGATATGTTAGATGTACTGGATACGTCAGATGACCTGGATACGTTAGACATACTGGCTACGATAGATGTACAGGATACGTTAGATGTACTGGATGGGCTAGACGTACTGGGCACGTTAGATGTACTGGATACGTTAGATGTACTGGAAGGGCTACATGTACTGAATACGTTTGATGTACTGGATACGTTAGATGTACTGGATTGGCTAGATGTACTGGATATGTTAGATGCACTGGATATGTTAGATGTACTGGATACGTTAGATGTACTGGAAGGGCTAGATGTACTGGATACGTTAGATGTACTGGAGTGGCTAGATGTACTAGACACGTTAGATGCACTGGATACGCTAGATGCACTGGATACGTTAGACGTACTGGATCCGTTAGATGTACTGGATACGTTGGATGTTCTGGATACGTTAGATGTACTGGATGGACTAGATGTACTGGAATGGTTAGATGTACTGGATACGTTAGATGTACTGGATACGTTAGATGCACTGGATACGTTAGATGTACTGGAAGGGCTAGATGTACTGGATACGTTAGATGTACTGGATTGGCTAGATGCACTGGATACGTTAGATGCACTGGATACGTTAGATGTACTGGAAGGGCTAGATGTACTGGATACGCTAGATGTACTGGATACGTTAGATGTACTGGATTGGCTAGATGTACTGGATACGTTAGATGTTCTGGATATGTTAGATGCACTGGATACGTTAGATGTACTGGATACGTTAGATGTACTGGATACGTTAGATGAAGTGGATATATTAGATACACTGGATACGTTAGATGTACTGGAAGGGCTAGATGTACTGGATACGCTAGATGTACTGGATTGGCTAGATGTCCAGGATACGTTAGGTGCACTGGATATGTTAGACCCATTGGATACGATAGATGTACTGGATACGTTAGATGTACTGGATTGGCTAGATGTACTGGATACGTTAAATGTACTGGATACGTTAGATGTACTGGAAGGGAGAGATATACTGGATACGTTAGATGCACTGGATACGTTAGATGTACTGGAAGGGCTAGATTTACTTGAAGGGCTAGATGTGCTGGATAAGTTAGATGTACTGGATACGTTAGATGTTCTGGATTGGCTAAATGTACTGGATACGTTAAATGCACTGGATACGTAAGATGCACTGGATACGATAGATGTACTGGATTGCTTAGATGTAGTGGAAAGGTTAGATGCACTTGATACTCTAGATGTACTGGATACGTTAGATGTACTGGAAGGGCTAGATGTACTGGATACGCTAGATGTACTGGATTGGCTACATGTCTTGGATACGTTAGATGCACTGGATATGTTAGATGCACTGGATACGTTAGACGTACTGGATACGCTAGATGTACTGGATACACTAGATGTACTGGATTGGTTAGATGTTCTGGATACGTTAGATGCACTGGATACGCTAAGTGTACTGGATACGTTAGATGTACTGGAAGGGCTACATGTACTAAACACGTCAGATGTACTAGATACGTTAGATGTAATGGATTGGCTAGATGTACTGGATACGTTAGATGCACTGGATATGTTAGATGTACTGGATACGTTAGATGTACTGGATACGTTAGATTTACTGTATATGTACATGCACTGGATATGTTAGATGTACTGGATACGTCAGATGACCTGGATACGTTAGACATACTGGCTACGATAGATGTACAGGATACGTTAGATGGACTGGATGGGCTAGACGTACTGGAAGGGCTACATGTACTGAATACGTTTGATGTACTGGAGACGTTAGATGTTCTGGATTGGCTAGATGTCCTGGATATGTTAGATGCACTGGATATGTTAGATGTACTGGATACGTTAGATGTACTGGAAGGGCTAGATGTACTGGATACGTTAGATGTACTGGAGTGGCTAGATGTACTAGACACGTTAGATGCACTGGATACGCTAGATGCACTGGATACGTTAGACGTACTGGATCCGTTAGATGTACTGGATACGTTGGATGTTCTGGATACGTTAGATGTACTGGATGGACTAGATGTACTGGAATGGTTAGATGTACTGGATACGTTAGACGTACTGGATCCGTTAGATGTACTGGATACGTTGGATGTTCTGGATACGTTAGATGTACTGGATTGGCTAGATGTACTGGATGCGTTAGATGCACTGGATACGTTAGATGTACTGGATACGTTAGATGTACTGGATACGTTAGATGTACTGGATTGGCTAGATGTACTGGATACGTTAGATGTACTGGATACGTTAGATGCACTGGATACCTTACATGTACTGGAAGGGCTAGATGTACTGGAAGGGCTAGATGTACTGGATTGGCTAGATGTCCAGGATACGTTAGGTGCACTGGATATGTTAGACCCATTGGATACGATAGATGTACTGGATACGTTAGATGTACTGGATTGTCTAGATGTACTAGACACGTTAGATGCACTGGATACGCTAGATGCACTGGATACGTTAGACGTACTGGATCCGTTAGATGTACTGGATACGTTGGATGTTCTGGATACGTTAGATGTACTGCATTGACTAGATGTACTGGAATGGTTAGATGTACTGGATACGTTAGATGTACTGGATACGTTAGATGCACTGGATACGTTAGATGTACTGGAAGGGCTAGATGTACTGGATACGTTAGATGTACTGGATTGGTTAGATGCACTAGATACGTTAGATGCACTGGATACTCTAGATGTACTGGAAGGGCTACATGTACTGGATACGCCAGATGTACTGGATATGTTAGATGTACTGGATTGGCTAGATGTACTGGATACGTTAGATGTTCTGGATATGTTAGATGCACTGGATAAGTTAGATGTACTGGATACGTAAAATGTACTGGATACGTTAGATGAAGTGGATATATTAGATACACTGGATACGTTAGATGTACTGGATACGTTAGATGTACTGGATACGATAGATGTACTGGATACGTTAGATGTACTGGATTGGCTAGATGTACTGGATGCGTTAGATGCACTGGATACGTTAGATGTACTGGATACGTTAGATGTACTGGATACGTTAGATGTACTGGATTGGCTAGATGTACTGGATACGTTACATGCATTGGATATGTTAGATGCAGTGGATGCGTTAGATGTACTGGATACGTTAGATGTACTGGATACGTTAGATGTACTGGATACGTTAGATGCACTGGATGCGTTAGATGGACTGGATACGATAGATGTATTAGATACGTCAGATGTACTGGATTGGCTAGATGTTCTGGATACGTTAGATGCACTGGATACGTTAGATGTACTGGATACGTTAGATGTTCTGGATTGGCTAGATGTCCTGGATACGTTAGATGCCCTGGATATGTTAGATGTACTGGATACGTTAGATGTACTGGATACGTTAGATGCACTGGATACGTTAGATGTACTGGATATGTTAGATGCACTGGATACGTTAGATATACTGGATACGTTAGATGTACTGGATACGTTAGATGTACTGGATACGCTAGATGCACTGGATACGTTAGATGTACTGGAAGGGCTAGATGTACTGGATACGTTAGATGCACTGGAAGGGCTAGATGTACTGGATACGTTAGATGCACTGGATACGTTAGACGTACTGGATACGTTAGATGTACTGGATACGTTAGATGTTCTGGAAGGGCTAGATGCACTGGAGGGGCTAGATGTACTGGTTACGTTAGATATACTGGATACGTTAGATGTACTGGATTGGCTAGATGTACTGGAAGGGCTAGATGTAGTTGTATCTGCAATCGGACAGAGAAAATACTTTCACTGTTGGAAATTAATTGGATTAAGATCACATATGAACTGTGATCAGTGGTTAAGAGATACCATAAGTGTTATTTGCACATTAAGTCACTGACTTTGGTTTTTAACTGACCCAAGAAATAATAACCTTTTTCTGTTTTATGCGAAGCTATATTCTCCTACTCACCACAAGTAATGTATGTACAGCTATCAAACTACTCTGTCCTTGAACAAAGGAGATAATTCTAGGATATACAACTTTAAAATTTCAGTGAATGTGAAGTTTTGGTGAAGATACTAACAACATTACCAACTAAGGCTGGCTGAAACATCAATAATCGGGAATATCATCAATGCAAAGAATTATTCACAATTATTGTACATAATCTATTGTAATGAAATAAAGCTTTAATGTACTCACATAATACACAAAGCTAGGTCCATATTCATGGGCTGCTTCTAGATTATGTTAAAGACACTGTTTTTTAGGTAATTCATGCATAAATGTGCAACCATTCACCAGTGATACAAAATACAGCATGTTGATTTCTTTCAAACGCTTTTGGTCATTTTTGCTCAAGGTTACTTCTCCGATATACATTGTTAAATTGCTTGATGTTAAGTTAACAGATATCAATCTGTATGATCTATAGCCAGTTCTATTATTAATAAATTTAGTATCTCCATTGTTCATCATACCAACCCCTATAGACTATAAATGCCATTTAAAGAAGTTACTCAGTGTTTTATTAGGTTCCTGACTTGTCAAACATAAGGTAGGTATGTTCCATTGATTATCCCTGATACACTCACAGCTAGCTAGTATTTTTTTTTCTAAAATTCAGGATTCAAATGTTGGATAACATTAGGAGCACCTCAGGGAATCTGCCAGAAATATGTTTACATTATAGCAGTCTTACAATATATTGTGTTCCAGACAATTCATACATGATACCATTTTTGGTTTATCAAAGTATACTCCAATAATGACTCTTTATGACTCTTTTCATAGAAATACATACTCTCTTAAACATATTTTAAAACATTAGAATAGACACATGTGATTTCATAATGTGACATGTTCCATTAAGTTTCCAACTACCAAGGAGGTTAAACTTACTTTTGATAATAGACAGGGTACCCCGAAACATTCTCATATCTATGATAAAGCATTATGGTATACTTGGCTAAATTACATTTATATAGCACAAAAGGAAGATTCTATGAAAACATGCTATCTCTGTACCGAAATACACTTTGTACTATTTCAAATACAAAAACCCCATGCATTAAAGTAAGAGATCATGCTTGGCCAACGTGGAGAGTCAAACATCTTGCCTATATTGAATCACAGGTTGTGTAACCTGTTGTGTCTTTGTAGCAAATGAATAGTGAGTACATGAATAGTGCCTCTGATCACCAAGAAGTGACGGCGTTAACGGGTAGGACGAGATGCAATTGTGAATGCAAAACTATGGGCAAAACAAACATGCAGTTGGGTTAAAGAGTCTCCACTCTGAGGCTGCAACATGCACACTCTTGACAAGTTAAAAACACTTTAAGCATGCAACCACCACAGAGCATATAGCATGGTGTACTTGTAATATTGCTATCATTCTAATTCAGACACAAATCTTGAACTTTAAGTTAAACAAAATGAAAGTGCCAGAGATTAACCAGTCGTACTTATCTGATGAACAGATTCCATCTGGGTTAAACAGACAAATAAGCATTGTCTAAATCAGTGATTAATGATGACAGATAGAACACACTCGGGATAGATCACTGACACAAAGTTTCAGTATTTTATCAAGACAACAATAATCAAATGTTTTGTTTTGTTATCAACAGAGCCAAAATTCGCACTGGCTACACTTGTTGGCAGGGCTACATGTGATATTTTCTGTTGTTGCAATAGCTAAATCACTACTGTCTTTACTGCAATAGTTGGACAACTACAATATTATTATGAGAGCCTTTCCTTCTCACATAATGTATCACTAGTGGATCAATCATTGCTTTCACATCATCAAGTAATTTTCATTAATGGGAAACTGACAGCTTCTGAAATATGATTCCACAAAAGCCATATTAAAACTAAATGGGAAACAATAAAGATGGCATACAGAAAGGCAAGTGTTGTTGTTTCACAAAGTTGTCTTTTGTCATCAGCCAAAATGTAGAAACTATAATAAGTTAGAGAAGGATGGAAACAGATAACACATGACCTCTTTCACCAAGAAACCTACGTACTGACAGTTTGAACCAACATACTTTAGTTCACAGGAGGTTCATACAAGGTTCCTGCCAACATGTACAACATGCAAGTCATGCATCTCACAATACATGCAGAAAACACTCTCCAAGCATACACTGTCTATATGCACATCACAAACCAGCACTACAGGAGCCCTGCAATCACTATCTCCAGTGACCAAGGGGATACTAGCATGCAGGCAGAGCTTCCTGTAACCAGAAACAGCAGACACAATGATACATTGATCACCAAGATATAGTGGCAGTGATCTGTTTGTTGTTGGACACTGCACTATTGTGCCATATGACACTGGTATGTAAATACACAGAAAATACAGTACAGTTTTGACATCACAGACATCCACAATTTGCTGATGGTGATACACATAATTCATGTCAGAGATTCTGACTACACGAACCATTCACTTACCAGAAACGTCAACTGATGTTCATACAATCAACTGAACAACTCGTTTTTTTATAGGAGAGTTACATAATGTTTAGAGTGTTGTTTCATTGCTTTTTAAGGTGAGCAGATTGCTACAGATTGACAGTATTGAAGTGGAAGCCCATGACCAATTTCTTGATGAATGAAGATATGCTGTAAAGGTTTGTCCCAATGTTGAATGACACATGTTCCACCGAGTAGCATGACAAATCCTGATAAGCACATACAAATATTCAGAAAATGACTGTTGCATGATTTTCCAGTCATCTAGTGAAGAGGTAAAAAGACAGTAACAATAAATCACCCAAATGAACATGTGGACTGATATTAAACACTTAAACTCTAACAAACTTTATTTACCAAGCTATTATAAACAGATTACCTGAACTACCACATTGGGTCAGGTGAAAAAAAAACGTGCATGTTGTTGAGAATTTTCTCAGATTCTCATATATCCATGACAATCTGTGATAATCAGTCCATAGTTAGCAGGACTGCTAATCAGTGATAGACTTACCTTGTCACACTGCCATGTCATTTATATAATACACAGGTTATTTATGAATACTGAGTAGCACCCTAGATGTCAAGGTCAACTATTTATTTCACATTGCAGAACCCTTGATGTCAAGGTGTGTGAAAGCATAAATCTACAAGGAATTTTATTAATAAAATCTATGACTGTCAGTCAAAGAATAATTCCAACACCAAATCAGCTATCTCTGACCACATCAAAGCAAACCCCAATCATCAAATAGAGTGGTCCGACTTCACCATTCTCGCCAACAACCAAACGGACTTCACTAAACGCAAGCTCACCGAAGCCATTCACATCAAATGCCATAAGCCCACCATCAACCATGACCAAGGATACTTCATTCCATCAGCTTATGATCCACTCCTCCACCAAGCCCAATCTATTGTATAAACATCGCACCTATTGTATAAACATCTCCTTCATTGTAACTACTCCTGTATTTATACATCTCTGGCTTCTATTCACTATCCTTTGTGTACTCACTGGCTTCATCAGCTTACTGCTTAACCAATTATGGCAATTATGTTGTTTCCTTTGTCAATTACAATGTATGTAGTTTCATTGTTATATACAGTATATATATGCAGCTCCTCCACTTCATGTATCACTCTTGCTTGACAACGGTACAAGAATCTGTATCGAAACGTCGCAATCACGAAATAAAGAAGTTGTTATCCATAAAAACGTGTTCCATATTGTACGTCTCAACTTCTGAAAAGGCCACTCAAACAAATAATATATACCAGCTCTCAACTACTGAAAACTCTGTTGTTTTTAGTCCCAGTTTGAATACCCATCCAATATACAACTTGTTGCAGTCGAGAGTTTTTTAATTACTAGCTCTCTCCCCTTCATCAGGTAGACTGTTCCTCTAACACTTATAAACAATTAGAGCTGTACGAAGTTCATACAATATTTATTCAGCTAATTACATAGGTCATTGTTGTGGAAGAGTACAAGTATACACATATACTGAGTTACACAATATATCATATACACTACTTGGTAAGTGAATTAAGAAGTTATTGTGCTGTATAACATTTTAAACTATGGACAGCACAAGCGACACAGACTTTGTAAACACTGTGATGGGTCCACCATTGACAGCTCAATGGAACTCTGGTACTTTAATATCAAAGTCTCAAACACCGGGGCCGAGAAAAGTTCAACATTTCTTCTTCTTCAGTATATTTACAAAAACTATTTTGCCACCCAGCCTGTAACACGAACAAATTCAATGGGCAACTTCTGTCTTCTCCGGAACTGATCCTACAAACGACGGAGGCGAGCATCTAGCTCTCTGGACATACATTTCCTGGGTGCTGCAGGAGCTCCACGGTTCAGCTGGGCAATCCGTCTCCTGTTCATTGCCTCTATGCTCTTGATCGCCTCGATGAATTCAAAGATGTTAGGGTGACTGTGCCTGATGCCCTGGTTCAGAGAGTGATGAAAACCTTCAAGGTGGTTATAAGTTTGTGGGACTTCTGTCTGAGAATGGTTCCACACAGGGATGGTGAAACGTGTGTCATCATGAAACAGCCTCTCACAGATGTGTTAGGGAACTCAGAGATAGCCTTGTGAACAGGGTACTCAAAGTCTACCTGACTAGTCAGTGGTTGAAGAGGTCTGCCAGTCAATTGTTGAACAGCATCCTTCAGCACACGATGTCTACAGTGAGTAGCTCGCTGACGATCAGGCATAAGACAGAAAGCTATGGGAATCACAGTATTGCCAGTACAACTGATGCCAAAAGTCTTGGACACGAATAAAAAGTTCCATTCGTGAAGAGGACATCAGCCTGCTGTAAGGTTGAGAGTGCTTCCTCCATAGAAAACACCAGCAACTTGTTACCGTCTCCGTCTTCAAAAAAGTAAGAAACCGACATCCATCAGATGTAGTAGTCCATGTTCCTTCTAGGGTGACCCCTCTACGATGTTCAGGCAATGCATGAGTGGTATTCCTTCTATGTCTATAGAATGATGATTTCACTCTGGACAGAGGTTGTGCATCAGCAGCAGCAGCAACAGGCAGTTGGCAGAGCTCTTCATTATAGATCTGGGTCATTGGAGTTGACTCATCCCTGGAACTTTTTCTCAGTGTCTAACTGCGGCTGGACTGTCGGGCCTGTGATTGTGCTCTCCAGTAACTGATCTGATGAACACGCTTCCAGTAGACGGCACATAACCTGACTTGTTCAGCTTATACAGAAAGTTGAACACCAGCCATAGCTAACACAAAATCTCTGTGACTGGGTCTTCTATACTTGCTGATAAATGTGACAGTTAAAACATTTTAATTTTAATCAGAGTAGAGGGATTATCTTAGCTTGGGCTGTAATTGGATTATGTCCAATTTTCAAAACAAACAACTTGCACTAAAAGTACGAAAGGTTTTAATCTGAGTAGACGAGTTATCTCCAAATATCAAAACAATTATGTTCAGTTTTCAAAACAAATGAAAGTATGATGATTATATGTACCTTTAATCAGAGTAGAGGGATTATCTTAGCTTGGGCTGTAATTGGATTATGTCCAATTTTCAAAACAAACAACTTGCACTAAAAGTACGAAAGGTTTTAATCTGAGTAGACTAGTTATCTCCAAATATCAAAACAATTATGTTCAGTTTTCAAAACACATGAAAGTATGATGATTATATGTACCTTTAATCAGAGTAGAGGGATTATCATAGCTTGGGTTCTAATTAGTGTTTGCAATACTTTAATTTGCCAGTTGGCCGTCAGGGCCTGCTACCGCCTGCAGGCTTTAAAATCTACAGACCCTGAATGAAATCTGCAGGCCCATTTGTTGAAGTCAAACCAATAAGATCAAGCAGTTGTGACTAAGGTAACATAATCCCCCGCCTCAAATTATCAAATAATAATAAAAAATAATGAAAGTGAAGGTCGTAGTTTAAGATGAAGTTAAATGTCAACAAAAGCATGACCAGTCAACCTCTCTTGATATCTTGCCCTGTAGCTGTTCAAACACACATATATTTTCACGACTAGCTTTGACCTTGACACGAATGTCATGGTGTATGAAATATGCAAAAAATAGTAATAAAGAAATTGCTTATCAAAAAACATTCAAGAGAAGTCTTGAAAGTCTATGAAGAAAATCCTGTGAACTGTTTTTGAGATATTTTTCTAACAATCTTAACATACTGAAATCTTCAAAGTGTTACTCTGACCTTGAAAATTACGTGAAAATCACGAAAATCGACTGGGCCCTGCACCTTCCCTATGTGAAGCCTGGTGTTAAATATAATGAAAATCCAAGGAGTGGTTCTTGAGATATCTCGCTGACAAGATTAACATGCAGGTCAACATGCTGAAATCTTCAAAGTGTCGCCGTGTCCTTGAAAATTATGTGAAGGTCACCAAAATCGACTGGGCCCTGCGTATTCCCCAGATTCTTCATCAAAAGTTAATCAAGAGGTCCCACACACTTGGCAGGTATACACCTTGATCGCGATTAATTGCTGGTTTATGTCTCCTTATCTCTACAGCCTCCTGTAGATCAATTAATCGTGATCAACGTGTATACCTGCCAAATGCGTGGGACCTCTTGATTAACTTTTGATGAACTTTAAATAAAAGAAAAAAACGAGTCTACTAATCGTTTTGGAAAGCCTGTTATCAAGTAACCTTTGTGTAATTAGCAGTTGTTGTGTATTGACAATTCAACTTTCAACTCTATTATTTAGCATGAATTTCATCATTATATAATTAACTCTTCAAACTCATCATTATGTAATTAACTTTTCAAACTCACTTATACAGTACTCTCCCTAGTGTACTGTGATGTCACTTGCATTGTGACGTCATAACTCAGTTATGACGTCATAGTGACAACGTCATAGTCCTAACTGCCAGTTCACCTGATGAAGGGACCTGGAATGGTCTCGAAACGTCGTGAGAGAAATTAAAAAGAAGGTTAATCCATAAAAATATCTTGGACATCAATGCACATCTTCTAAATGCCACTGAAAGACAACGACTTCCTCAGCAAGCCATAAATACACTTGACTTCCTGTACCACGGCTGCGATTGTGAACCTACCTGGAGGTATTTACAAATGTTGCATGTCCAACAATAGTTTGTTATTATTGAATAAAGTATTAAGTGTTACCAATTGAAAACAAATTATATCGATAATTGAAGGTTGATTGTCTAACGATCAATAACCGATTATTTGATCGATCGGTGCACCACTAGTTAGGGTGTGTATAAAGAATTATGGTCATCTTTACCAGTTTGGTAAAACACAGGCACTAGTGCGGTGATGATGGACCAAGAGAGAGATCTGGGCTATAAATCCTGGCAAAGCTAAGGGATGCAACTCTGCACAAAGAGGTACAGTGACGTTGCAGACAGGTCGAAGAATCTGATCCCTGTAGCCCACACCAGTTAAGTTGCCCTGAACAATCACCAAAGGAGTTCTTTGGCGTGCTGTTATTCCACCCCAAATCATCACAGAACCACCACCAAAGCGATTCCTCTCCAAGACACAGGCCTGTGCATAATGTTCTCCCACGCGTCTATAGGCACGTTGACGTCCATCACTGTGGGAAATGTTAAACCTGGACTCATCTGTAAAAACAACATTTCTCCGCCAAAACAAGGGTCTGCGGACCTGATTTCGGCACCACATTCGGCGAGCTTGTCAATGATATGTGTCAGGATAGGCCTTATGGCGGGACGTCGTGGTCTGATCCCGTGATGACGTAAACGTTGTCGAACTGTGTTGTGTTGGATACGGCAAAGTCCTGGGATGGTCCGGGCAAGCATCACTGCAGTCTGAAACCTGTGGCGAAGATGGGTCACCCTTATCCATCTGTCATGTCTTGGCGTTGTTACAAGTGGACATCAAGAACGTGGCCGATCGATAACGTCATTTGTGTTCTGGTAGCGTCTCACCAGTGCAGAAATGGTGTTCCGGAGGCATTGGAAATGTGCAGCCACTTGTCGTTGAGACATTCCCCCCACGTACCATCCCAATGGCCTCATGACGTGTAGACGCGAGTCTTGGAAAGCTATGCGTTTCTATAGCCGTTTAATGTTTTGAACGATCGCAAGGGCAGGGGTTGAGCTTTCTAAAGTGACAGAATTGTGTGGCATTCATCTGCTCTGTGTCTCAAGGACGAAACCACTGACATCACGGAACGTGGCACGTGCATGCATGTTGGATACATATCACTCATCTCTGAGTTTAAATCCTTATGTGTCTACACAGGTTTGATAAATTTTGATTTTAAATTTGTGTATGCACAGTTTCTTTATGTGCCTAGTATTCATTCTGTCAAGTTAGTCTTGATATTACACTATCTGGCCATAAGAGTACATTGTGTTTCTGTACATTTGTAATCAACCATATTTTTTAAATCAAGATTTACTTCAATTTTCTTCTCATTATTTTGGCTACAGATTATCAATATGAACTCAATGTATTCCTACCACTGTAATAATTTCTTATTTAATTATGATATGAAGTTACATCACCCATAGCTGAGGGTGAAAACATTTGCCACCAAACTAATACAATGAGCAATCTTTTTGATGAAAGGGACAACTCTCATTTTGAATTGTTGTAAGCGACAGGCCAACACTGCTTCCAGTTTCACGGTTTTTGCTTCCTTAGTTACAGCTTTGAGATTTACGTAATTAGTTGACAACACCTTTTTGTAGTTGAGTTGAGTTGAGTTGGGCTTTACGTCACATCGGCATTATTCCAGCCATGTAGTGACGAGAACAAGTTTGCATTAGTAAACATTGTAAGTACATACTCGGAATGAGTTTTATTTCAAAGACATTTATTGATTACATTGTCATTCAAAAGCAGAAAAAGTCATAGCATCAAATTTAAAGGCAGGCGGTTTGTTACATTTCATAGTTACAATTTATGATTGTTACATTTCATAGTTACAATTTATGATACAGATCAACTTCCCTCAGGTAGTTCAGTATCAGATGGGCGCTCACGCGTGAGAACAGATATTTTAGGTTTGTTGCATCATAATGTGAGTCCTTTGCAGGCGATAAGTCCACGCATTCAAGCAGAATATGCTTGACGGTGAACACCTAGGTATAACCGATTGTTGGCTTCAATTCATGGAGTTTGTTTCTTCCTACTTGAGTGTCCCACCTTTTTTGCATCAGGTCCCTAGTATAGCTTTTGATAGTGGGTTTGAAGTCACTGTATGGGATTAGCAGTGGAGATAGGGGCTTTTCGAGAGCTGCTTTTGCTGCAGCATCGGCCTTAGTGTCACCTGCTATGCCGACGTGACCCGGCAACCAGCAGAGGATGATGTCATATTGGCCAGTAGAAAGGTCGTTGTACAGTTCTAATATGTCCAGGATGATTGGGTGACTTGAAGTCACGTTTAGAAGTGCTTGAAGGCAGGATAATGAATCTGTAAATACGATGAAGTTTTTGGACTGATTTTGCTGTTGAATGTAGGTCAAAGCTGAAAAGATAGCTTTGGCTTCAGCGGTGAAAATGGAACTGTTGTCGGGGATCCTAGAGGAGACAGTCTTGGCTCCAATGACTGTAGCTGGCAACTTGGCCATCGTCCTTGGATCCGTCTGTGAAAATGGATCTGTGAGTGTTATACTTAGAACGTAACTGGTTGTATTCCTGTTGGAACACAAAGGGATTTGTTTCAGACTTTTTGAGTTTGGTGAGGGTAAGATCGACCTGTGGTTTCACCATTTGCCATGGTGGTGAGGACAGAAGTCGGTATGGTGCAATGATGTCGAGATCAATTTTAGCTGCAGTTATGTGTGGTTTGATCCTGATTCCAAGTGGTGGGACCAGGCTTGGCAGTTTAGGAAATAAGTTTTCATAGAGCGGGTTGAAAACACAATTGTATGCTGGATTGGACTCATTTGAACGTAATTTAGTGATATACTGCTGTGAGAGTTTAATGCGGCGTTGTTCAAGGGAAGGTTCATTGGCCTCTGCATATAGACTGTCTACCGGAGAGGTCCTAAAAGCTCCCAGGCAGAGCCTCAGTCCTTGGTGGTGGATAGAGTCTAATTTGTCTAAATTGCTTTTGCAGGC